ATACACTATTGAGCTTTAAGTTTGTTTATGTACGCTTTAGTGGTTTGAATACAACAAAACATGGCGTCTTTAACGTTAAAAACATAGAAAGTCAACATGTTTAAAGCAAAAATTGTATTAATATTATTATTGTATACGACGGCGGATATTTGAACGCCTTCAATGTGAGGGACGCAATAGTTTATACTTTGGACCAAACGAACTCGTATTAATGTGTTGGACCAAACGATTTTGGACCAAACGAACTGTTTTACAACTGTTGGACCAAACGATTTTGGACCAAATGAACGAAAATATAAACGTACAGTATATTTCATAAGTTTACTCTACAATGCAACATTTTACTTCTAGTTTGGCCTGTACTTTTGGACCAAACGATTTTGGACCAAACGAACGTGTTTTTAACTGTTGGACCAAACGATTTTGGACCAAACGAACGAGTTTTTAACTGTTGGACCAAACGATTTTGGACCAAACGAACGGCAATATAAACTGTGGACCAAACGACTTTGGACCAAATGAAATTGGATAAAACGATTTTGGACCAAACGAACGAGTTTTTAACTGTTGGACCAAACGATTTTGGACCAAACGAACGGCAATATAAACTGTGGACCAAACGACTTTGGACCATTTGAAGATGATCCATAACTTACTGTAGGCATATTCTTATCTCAAAAATCCTTTTGGGCCCCGCCCCAGTGGCTCTGTAGTTCCCCATGTTAACCTGATGAGTATTCATGTTTAAAGGGAATTAAAGAATTTAGTCAGTTGTTTCAACTAAAAAAAGATGGTTCTATGCTATACAAAAGCATTAAAAAGTTATAAGATTTACCAACAGGGTGCAGCACTATAATTTTTTTTGCATTTATGTAAACGGCTAATTTGAACTAAGCAGCAACAAAAAACTGTGAAACGCAATGAGAACTGTCAAAGTAGGATTTTTTACAGTTAGTTGTGTTTATGTTTTTAATGTCATGAATAATTTGTGATTTTTTGTGGTTTTGCAATAGTTAATTTTTTTTAATTGTTTAGGTGAAGTGGTAGAACATTATGGCTATAGTAGATGTGTAATACCATAGTATACCATCAATTTAAAGAAGCAAATTTTATAAAACTTTGTCAACCCCCCCCCCCCCCCCCCAGTTGGCCCTTTGCCAACGCAAAACTTGAGTGTAGCTGCAATAAGCATTTTAAACTTATATGCCATCCCGTACGAAGGATGGGTACTCTGCTAGTATGTTATAAAGGACAATGCTTACAGTTTATTTTCCTTAATGATAATTGGTATTATTGGTTAAAGTGCTCGCCTAACAATCAAAAGGTCGCTGGTTTGATCCAAAGAAAAGTCAGTACGGTAGCTTTTTCATGGTTTGGACCTGGACATAGCTGTTCCTGATCATCTTATATATTTAAAAAAATTGGTTTTTCTTTGCCGAGTTTGTTTGGCTCTTCTACCCGACCGATTTTCATGATTGAAGTCTCAAATTGAAGGTATGCACGCACAGATTTGCCATCAAGCATCTACATATATTTATCTATAATCTCACTCGGCAGATACGTAAACAAAATTTACTCCCCATGGGATGTATTTCTTATGGGAGATAAATTTGGTTTTTCTTTGCCGAGTTCGTTTGGCTCTTCTACCCAACCGATTTTCATGATTGAGGTTTCAAACTGAAGGTATGCCCACACATATTTCACATAAAGCATTGACATATTTTTATCTATTATCCCACTTGGCTTGAAACACGTTAACGAAATTGGCTCCCCATGTATTTCTTATGGGAGTTAAATTTGGGTTTTCTTTTCCGAGTTTGTTTGGCTCTTCTACCCTAACGATTTTCATGATTGAGGTCTCAAATTGAAGGCTTTCACATAAGGCATCGACAAATATTTACCTACTGTACTCGTCCAAAACACATAATTTGATTTATTTTCTAATTCTTACTCAATTTCAGATGTACCTTCACCAGTTATAATTGTAAAATCCTATATATTTTAGCCTAAGAACCTTCAGTGAAATACTGGCTTTCATTTAAGGTCACAGCGATTCTGGAGAGGGTCGAGGAATGTTTCATCATAGCCTAGTAATAAATCAATACCGGTAAGTCTAGTAGTAGTGCGAACCAGCTGATTTGTTTGGAAACACACTCCAACCATTCCGCTTAGAGAATTTGCAAAAATGTCTGCTCCTTGCCCGCAACACTTTAACTATTCTAACACCTTCTTTAACACCTAACATTAAGTTAGGCCTAACTTATGATGATATTAGACCGTCACCTGCTTCAAAACAAAAAATTGAGCGGATCGATAATAGGCTACCAATTGCCCTTCAGGGAACGATTAAGTTAAGTTAATTATATGAATTAGCCTAAGTTACTTACTAAGTGACTTAGTTGACTAAGTTAAAGTCTCTACATGACTTGTAACGTGCTTTCCATTGTGAACTTGACATGAGTTATTGCTAAAGAAGCATCTAAAGTAACTTATGGAGTTGGTGACCGTGCGCTCGGAATGATCGAGTCCCACCTTGATAATAGGACTCAAGTAGGCCTAAGTTACAGTAGTGTCATAGGCAGGTGAATACTCAAAAGGGCTACAGTTCCATAAAGGGCCTACGATATATTATCCGATAAATAACGATATAGGCTATATCAATTTAAGGCAGTTTGATAATAATATCGCAATGATTTTATTTGTACCATATGATATTAAATTAAAACAAAAACAATAACATTGACGGATCTTTATATTTATTCGTTTAATCCCTTGTTTCCAATTAAATATTTAATAGGCCTACTAAAAATGGAAGAAATTGTGAATTTTATAAATTTATGTGATTACCATATCAACTCTTGGAAATTGCGTTGATTTTCTTTAAGAAAAATGATTTGATTCCAAAACAAGCTAAATGCAAAATAGCCTACGTGGAGACGAGATTAAGATTAGAATGAAATGCGAAAACCAGGTAGGTAACTTGATTTAGATGTCAAAAATAACGTTAAGACAAAATTTAGTTTAGTTTAGGCCTATATTTTTGAATACCGGTACACAGAGGATACGCCTCCGGTAACCGGACATGGATTAGTCAGGCAGTGACGTCACCGGGTTGTGGGGGCCCGGAACGCCATTACCACAACGATACGATGTACAGCCATCGGTGTTTGTGGTGTAGTGGATAGAGTGCTCGGGTGATATGCAAGAGATCCCTGGTTCAAATCCCAGCGGTAACTTAAACTTTTTGTCAAAGATATTGCTTTGAATGCCATTTCTTCTTAACTGTACCGGTGTACATCTTTTGTTAAAATTTTTGGCATTTAAAATGTTATTTTGTGAACATAATTTAACCTTCATTTGATTTTTTCATCATCAGTAGGCCTAAGTTTGGCTGGTTAGGTAAGGTAATGACAGTAACTGCCGGACGCCTAATCCACATTCGGTTACCGGACGTGTATCCTCTGCATTCTTAATAACTTAATTTATCGATAATTTAAGTTTTGGTTATGCTTAAGTTTTGGTTTTTTTTTTGTTTTTTTTTTTTGTTTTTTACTTCCATAGGCTATAAAACCTAACTTAGGCTAGGTTAATAAATTGTGTTTTTATTTTTTAGATAGGACCTAGCCTATATTAACTTAAATACCTATTAATAAAAACATAAACAAAACAATCAAAATCAATGTTTATAGTCGTGTTAGTTAAATGTTTATTTAGGCTAATAAAAAATGTTAATTGATAAGTTATACTTTATATCGAACCGAGCAAATTTTGATATAGGTAGGGCCTAAATACTTAGGTCTATATCGTTATTCATCATATAGGCCTAATATATTGTCTGCCCTAGGCCTATACGGAACCGCAGCCTTCAAAAGCTTTCAAGATCACCATGGAGTCCCACAAGGCTCGGTTCATGGGCCTTTTTTATTTATAGCTAACTTACAATCAACAACCTCCGTCACAATGGAGCCTAACTTATCTAACGATGTGCTATTGTACACGGATGATACCATTTCGTTCACTAAGCACACTGGTCATTTTACAGCTAAAAATTGTGTTAAGACACATAGGCTACTTATTGTTCAATGCATCTTCTGAATGATTCACCGGAAAAAATTGGCCCTAAGTTAAACAAGGTTAGGCCAAGGGCGCCAAGGCTAAATTTAATTGGTGAGTCGGTGCCTCAGTTGGTAGCGTCACGGACTTCAGGCCCACCAGGCAGCATTGTCGTGGGTTCGGATCCTGGTCACTTTGCCACTAAAATTATCTATCAGTTCAGTTACCCACCTTTGTACTGTACCGGCTCACCCCTTGCTTTGCTGGATACGTTCCACGCACAGATCTGTTGTCTATGTGGACGGGCAAATGCAAGGTTAAAAGAGGTCGCCAACCTCTTAAAAAAAAAGAAAAAAATATTTTATGGAAGCTTAGGCCTTACTTAAATAAGTTAGGCCTAAGTTTATACCAATCCTAAAATGGCTTCTCATGCATTTTAGGGCCTAAGTAAAATCTCAGACTAAAAAGTATCATAGGCCTAATACTTTTATGGAATATCTTAGGTACTGCGAGTTGAAGAGATAAAGTAACTTAGCCTTACAGAAAAATTGCTTGGCTAAATGGGAGCTAGGCGAGGTTACGTAGGACTAAACTTAGGCCCTAAGTTAAGTTAAAATAAGAAACAGATCAAGTTCAAAGGCCTAGGATAAGTTAATTAAGTTTACTAGCCAACTATAATCTGGACGAATTAGTCTATAGGCCTAATCATTATAGAAAGGAAATCATTTTTGCTAAGGCTTCTTGGCTATGTTTGTATTTTGTCTTGGCCAAGCTTCCCTAATCCCTAAGCTCCTTCATTGTCTTCTGCACTGTGTTGCAGTATAGTCCATAATAGAGCTAACTTACATCTTTTTAATGCTAAACACAACAAAGCGTCAAACTTGATCAAAATTTACTCAAAAAGCAGACTAAATTTCCAGATAATTAAGAAGCGAAAGTGTTATTACCTACTGAAAGTGGGCTTTTGATGAGGGTAAAAGGCCAGAGAAGGCATCAGCCTCGATTGAGTGTGGCTTGCAGACGCTGTTACTATTCTAAACAAACTTTATGTCTCTGAGTAAACTAAAAGTTATACATGTCTAAAATAAATTAAACTTCAACTTAACACAAAACAAAACCACTTTATATCACACATTTTACCAAAATACACCCACTCAATATCTAACATTCTGCATATAATCGATTCTCATTATTATACAGACACATTCACCATTATGAAGAACGCTTTCATTTTGCTTTTTGCATACAGGCAGTACATGTTATACTATAACAAATGTAAATATTGTATGAGGTAAATCATTATAATTTCTTCATAATTTCATTAAACTATTCTAAGGCTTATAGGATTTTAAAACAATGTTTACAATAAGTTGAGGATGATGTCTGAAAAATTTAGTTTCTTGTCGTTAAAAAATACCTTACCTTACCATCAATTATCATTATTGAGATGGGGACGCCACCTAGGTGCGTATTTTAACCCAAATATGAGTGAAGGATGAGTGTAGAATGGTGTGAGATGATCTATGTAGCTTTGTTACTGACTAAGATCAGCTGTTTCATTAGCCAGGATCATTTATTTAAAGCCCAATGATCAGTTGGGTCCAGTTTCAAACCATCAAAAAGATACTGACTTTTCTCAGGATCGAACCGGTGACTTATCAATTATCAATCATTGAGATGGGGACGCCACCTAGGTGCGTATTTTAACCCAAATATGAGTGAAGGATGAGTGTAGAATGGTGTGTGATGACTTGTGTAGTATTGTTACTGACTAAGATCAGCGGTTTCATTAGTCAGGATCATTTATTTAAAACCCAATGATCAGGAACAGCTGGGTCCAGTTTCGAACATTCAAAAAGCTACTGAATTTTCTCAGGGACGAACCGGCGACCTTTTGATTACTAGGTGAGCACTATAACCATTCAGCTACCCAGCCAATTACATGAAAGAGCCAATTACCATGTACATGAGAGAGAGCTTTCTACTTGATACTTATACTTACTTGATACTTTGTGTGCTGCGTCGTTGACCGACAATGTCAGATAGCCTGCGTTATTAATTTCATTCTGAATCATCAATGCTCAATTAAATTTGTTTCCACGTATAAGAACAAAACAGTGAAGTCTTAAGTTAATCTCATGTTATAAAAAACCCCCGCCATAGTAAACTTGCAGATTAAGCGAATTGAATTTGACTTATAGGATTTATACTCAAATATTTTCATAATTTTTCATAACAAGACTTATTATTTCCAATATTATATTATTTTTTTGTATTTCCATCAAAATAGTTAAACTAAAAATCTGCTTTTTACAGTACTGAGGAGTAGGTTTTATGTACTGGTAAGATGGTGATTTTGTATGAAATAATTGAGCGGAGCGAGTGAATCGAGCGAAGCTCTTATTTTATTAACTCCCAATATAAATAACATACGATTTAAACGAGGGCTTAGTTTTGCTACTGTGGGGAAGGTAAAAAAGTATATTTTTGACCAAACGATAATATTATAGCACGGCCCATATTCAACAAAGATCAAAATGAACATTGTAAACCATTATTTATTAACTTTAACGCTTTGACTGTGATAAACCATTTATAATGTATTGTTATCTAGTTTTAAAGTTGCATGAAACCTTTGCTTTAAGGGGTGATTTTCATTGCCTTGACACTATAGGAATAGAGAAAAGACAATATTGCCTTATGCATATTGTCTTAAATCAATCCTGGAGGCAATGCTGAATAAAAATAGAGAAAACCTTGACATTCCTTTTACAAAACTGGAAAAGATTAAAAGAAGCCATATTATTATGGGTAGAAAGTTGTGGAATAAACTGTCGCCAAGAATAATTCAACTCCCTTACAATAGTTTTAAGAATGCAATTTATGAATGGCTTGTCAGAAACCCCTGTATAAGATTGGTGATTTTTTTGCTTTACAACCAATGATATAACCACATATTATTATCTTATTCCAGCCTTGAATGTCTTTTTCAGGGAATGGGCACACGGGAGGGACTAAGGCTAAAGTTGTAGTGACCTCATATCTCTAGTGGCTAATGCCTTCTCTTGAGGCAACACGAATACCGTAACGAAACGATGTGATGTGATGTGTTCGTGACATAGTTGGTAGCGTTTCGGATTAAAGTTCAGGAGGTCCCGGGTTCGAATCCCGCTGGCAGCACTATCTTTTTGTCAATACATTTTTCATATCAGCAAGTTTGGTTGGTTAGGTTAGGTTATGACAGTTTAATTTTATAATAAAAATTTTAAAATTAATTTTATAATTAATTATAATTAATCATTAATTAGATTTTTATCTTATATAGTTTTTATATTATCAGCAAGTCTGGTAGGTTAGGTTATGTTATGACAGTTTAATTTTAAAAATTAAAAATTAATTTTTTAATTTTAAAACAATATTTTATAATTAAAAAGTTAGTTTTATAACTAAAAATAAAAAAAATAATTTAAATTTTGTCAACTTAGCAGTTATAGCGGCGAACGCTGACACTACAAGATATGTTAGCCTTAGTCCCTCCCATGTGCCCCACCGTCTTTTTCAGCCTGTCTATGCTTATCTGCTTTTGTACCTTTTTATTTGCATGATGTGTAAGTTTAGGTATCCTAAAACCTTGTACACTAATATTGTTTACTATTATTATTAGTTGACTGAACTTGACTTGTGCCTCTTCCAGCATGTATTTATATAATTTGACTCTGTCTCATGCATTCTATAGACGAATAAATTAATATAATTTCATTTCATATCTTTCAGCAACTGAACATTCTAACATTTGCTTTAGCCTTTGGTTTTAGAATCAACAGTAGCAGGGGGGGGGGGGTTGAAATTTATTTAAGCTTTTTTCCAAGAGCCGGGTTGAGACTAACAACTGTGCCAAATTAGGTTCGTTAAAACTTCTTAAAATACTTAATTTATATCACAAATGCGGGTTTAAGTAACATCCTTAATATCGGCATATCGGTTAGAAACACTTTGAGCCAGCAATCAATCCCTGTACGAAACAACGGGAAGTTTAGTGCACCAAATAAAAAATCAATACTTGTTTGGTTGGTACTCATGAAATCTAAGTTAGGACGTGATCCCCTCCCCTTGAATTTCGCTGTCCGACCTTCGGCCGCTGTGCTGGTTCGACCGGGCGAAATGCGATGCGATATTCATTCGAGACGAAAGTCGAAACACATTTTATCGTCTGCTACGCTGTAGCTGTAGTGCTGTGATGTTGTGTTCTGTTCTGCTGTCTGCTCTTTCATACGCCTTGGTCTGCTCCTGCTGTCTTCTGTCTGTGACTGTGTTGTGTGTGTTCAGCTTCAGCAATCTCTTCTTCATTGTCACATAGAAGATTCGTAGTTAGTGATTTTTATTATCCTAATTACTAAATTCTCTACTCTTGAAGTTTTGCCTTAGTTTTCTTATTCGTTGACTCTCCGCTCATTTATTTATTACTGTACTGTGTGTTTAACATTATGTAACTCTATTAGGGCATAGGCATATTCCTCAAATTTGAAAGTCTGCTATTTTAAAACTAAATAAATTAGGCCCAGACCTAAAAAAAGTTGCCAATTTAACATAAAGGCAAATTTAGTAGCCTACAGTTGTATTGATTTGTGTCATATCCTAATCACAGTTTCTAGCTTTTGTACAGTAGGCCTACATCTACCTAACTTATTTTGATTCTGTATGACTAGGTTATGGAATCTGTCTGGAAACTTTTACCCTAGGCCTAAGATGACCTGAACACCATTTAAGTCTACTAAGTGAAATCGACTTCTTATCTTTTGATATGGGGCAAGCAATAACGAAACTGACTTCACTCACACTACGAGAACTGAGGAGCTTCAATGTGGAGAAAAGGGCTGAAAAAGTGATTTCTAGGGAAAAACCAACTCCAGCACCCATGTACCCGTCCACTATCAAAGAACTAGAACAGTTAAAAGAAGGTAAGTTAATAAATAACTTCTTGATTAACATGGTACATGTTATTAAATTAAGAGTTCATGGAGTTTATCGGCGTCAACTGCGTCGTCACTAACTTACTATACAATAGCCAGACATTTCGCCCTTAAGTTATGAAGTAGCATCCTCAGTGGCTAGGCCGAGCCTCAGTCTAGCCACTGAGGATTGGCGTTGTTCATCTTCAATAAATATTTCCAACTCATCCACTTTACTGAAGAGACCTCTAATATTCTGATGGATGATTTTTGGACAGTAAATGTCAACACAATCAGAATGCCCCAGGGACACCCACAGGTCTGCATCCCCTAAAAAATGGCTACCTACCTATTTGTGATTGTGCAACTTTTAGAAGAATGGTAATACCGGGAAGTGGAACTAGGCCCTACTTAGAGAATTTCCAACAAATGGGCACATTTAGGGGGTTTAGTTGACTTGTATGGCTGATTTTCACATGACATTGATGTGATGGTACTTGGAACAGGGCCTGATACAGGATGGGATATCATCAAAATCATGGGATTGCGTATCTATTTTGTAAGGAGCACAACCAGCCCTTTTTGTGGGCTCCTTTGTTGGAGTCCTTATGGTAGTTATTTGATAGGCTATTGACAATGTGATGTGATATCGTGTAATTTTTAGATCTCTTCTTATAGTATTTTTCACGTTGAATGCAAAAATGCAATCAGTTTTTGTCGGAAAGATTCCTAAGTTGCCGTAAAGTTAAATAATTAATATTAAGCTTCAGTTTTCTTGGGTTATTCACCTATTCGTGGTTTGGACGACTCCCCCAAAAAGATAAAAAATAAACTAAATTTTTTACAAAAGAGAATAATTTTAATATAAAAATTAAACTCAAGTTCTAGTGGCGACTAACCCTAAAAAGGGTGGAAGGTTTGTGGAGTGGAAACAGCTGTAAGTTGTTTACATTCAATACTAAACAGACAAAACCACACACGACGCCATGAGAGCAAAATCAGAGTTACAATATGCAATACCGGTAACTCGATTTTTAAAAGAAAATGGACTTCGGCACCGTTTAGAAAATACAATAGCCTAAATCAACTACGATAGGTATATAAACTATTAATCACATCAACATAAATAAAAAAAAAAAAAAATAGAATTTATTCACGTAAAATATCAGTAAGTTAATAGAAGCTAGGCCACTGCCGACATGATCGTCCTCATTCCAATCCTCAACGTCTGTTAATGAACGTGCCAGTTTTTTTAGTG